TTTTCAATTAAAAAGGAAAAATAAGCAAACAAACCAAAAAAAAAAAAAATCAAAACGAAACCCCACCCACCCCCTTTGCACACAAGGGTTATTCAACTTGAGAAGGTAATTTGCCAGGTGAGGGTAATTAGTCAGTTCTCTGCAGGTGGCAAGGAGCGGTCAGGTGTTGAGCTAATTTTTACTATGAGCAAGCCCGAGAACCACCCCCTGAACTCCTAATGTAATGGGTGCTCAGTATGTGTTTGTTGATGGACAGTGTCAGTCTTGGGCAACACTGTCTATAGGGACTCAATGATGGTGGAAATGCTGGGCTGCCCGACGTGGTGACCACTAGCTGCATGTAGCTACTGAACATTTGAGCTGTGCCCTGTGTGACTGAGGAACTGAATTTTTAATCTGAACCAGTATAGTTTTGTATTGTGTGGTTTGATTTGTTGGGTAGTGTAGCCTTGTAAGTATGGTTTCATAGTTACATGTCTGCCTGGGATATTCTGCCATGGCTGTTGGGGGAAGAGTCGTGGTAGATAGAGGACAAGGGTGAACCAGGACCCAGTTGGGACAGGGCGGAGATAATTAGCATCTCAGGAACCACTTGTGTTTGGCAGCTTGTCTTCCCAGCATCCAACCCTGCAAAGCCAACAAGTCTTCAGGCTTTCCTCAAAGCATTGTACCTTTTGGCCCCGAAACTGATGGTCTTGTTTATATGTGGGTTAGAGGTGATGGGAATGATGTCTTTCTTCCCAGACCTTTATATCTTGACCCAAACCTACGATTTGAACCCACATTGCACTAGCGGGCTGTGAGAAACACCTGGATAATTTCTTCAACTTGACATTTGCAAAAAAATAAAATACTTTGTTCTTTTTTTGTAAAAGACACCAGACAGAGAACCACAATTCAGCAAGAGGGGGCTTCTCTTCATTGAACCCCAAAGCAAAGGTTAGCTGTTAGCTATGCAAAACCTTGGCTGGAGACTTGGCAACCTAGCCACATAGCCACAGACGATAAGAACTACTATAGTAAAGTTGACGTTTGGTTTTAGTTACAGATCAGAGATTGGCAATTTTCTCCATAAAGACTTTGTGGATTGTACAGTCCCTTATCACAACTAACTCTGCCAGACCTCGTGAATCTGTAGTTGTGTCTGAATACAACTGCAGCTTCATTGGTGAAGTCGGCCCATGAACAGAATTTGGTCTGTGGGCCAAGGGTTACCAGCCTTTCTTAACAAAAGATTTCAGGATGGTTGAGACTGTTTGTTCTTTGTAGAACTTTCTGGTAATCACCTGTGCTGACTGACAGGAGAGCTAATCAAGGGGCGTGACTTACTTAGAGCACAGGCTCTAGCCAGACTAGCCAGGTGTGAATTCTTCATCAGCAGCCTTTTTGGCCCAAACCTCCTTGCTGGGCTAAGACTGGTTTCCTCTGTTACCTGGAGATGATAGTAGGTAACTACCTTATTTGTTATGGATTTTACATGAATTAGTGTATGCAACATATTTAGGAAAGTATTGGCACAGTAGAAATAATAGCCATCGTTAATGTTTCCTCATCTTCATTCTCAAACAGTTGGAAATGCTTTCTTGGTCCCATCTGGATCACTCAGAGTTAGCCACAAACTACAGGGCACTACATCTGTTCAGGGACAAAAGCAAAAGTAAGGTCCCCCCAGTTTCTCGAGTGGGACTGCTATTGTCTCACATGGAACTGCCATGCTCCATTTCCCTCAGGCGGCTTGCAGAGCACTCTTGGGGCCAGCTGGCCAGACCCTGTCATAAGTTGGCCTCATAATCCCCACAGCCCCTCCCACCCGCACAGCTCTTGTGGGTCCTGCAGAAATTCTTATGTTTGAGACCCTGGAGTGGAGTTGATTTTGTGATATTTGAAGATTATAGACCCCTGGCAAAATGCTTTTCAGCATAGAGCCTTCTAAAATGGCTCTCAGTCTTTCCCTTTATTACCAGGAAGTCCTACTGTTTTTGGCTGAGGGGAAGTCTATGGTCCAGAGCCTTGAAATGGCTTATTCAATGTTGTGTGGTTCAGGATAGAGCAGGGTTAAAATCACCTTCCCTGTCTTCCAACCTCTAACTTGTGAACCTTTTTTTTTTTTTTTTTTTTTTACCTTTCCTGGGGGAATTTGGCTGCTGTCCTAGCAGAGGAATTGGGCTGTTTATCTCTGGGTTCATTGTCTCATGTCTCTTTCTCCCCCTTTGACTGTTGCAGAGCTCAGTGCCTCTGATGACAGCTCCCTGTCTGATGGTCTACTCCTGGAGGAAGGTGAGATGGACAGTTTGGGGACACAGTCAAGACTGTGGGAATTTGCAGAGTTTGCTAGCGAGGATTTCCAGTGGGACTGGAAAGTTCAGGGTGCTGGTGAAGGCAGGAGTACCAGCCAAGGGTCTGTCTCAGATCTGATGTCAGTTCCTGTGTGTCCAGGCTCATACCCCATTGAGGGTGGGGGATGTGCTGAGCTCCTCTTTCAATGGGTCCTTTTGATGAGGAAGGGAAAGATGAGCTCTAGCCTGGTGAATTAACCCTGGCATCTCTGCTTCACTCAGGCTGCATTCCGGAGCCAGTTAGAGACAATGAATGGTCTCCTCAAAACCATTGCTGTGGTTGATGAGAAGGTAGCACTGGAGAGGAAATACAAATCTGTGGATTAAGGATGTTGTTTTAAAAGACGGAGAGTATTGAGGGTCAAAGTGGACACACCCAGGGCGTGACCAGGCCAATAAGGAAACAGGGCACCTAGGTGAGGCAGGAACAAGAAAACTAGCTAGCTGCAGACAGGCACCGTGAACAAATGCTAAAAAGTGAAGCAGAGCGAATCAGCAAGGAAGCAGATGCAAAATTAAAAAGCAGGGGCCAGGAGGGAGGGAGGGAGTCCCCCAAAAGAAGAAAACAGCTTTTCTTATCTGGGATTGGGGCTATGGCCTGGAGCTGTAGGTCAAGGCGTTGAGGAGAGAGAGCAAGGCAGGGCTGTGGAGGTTCTTGCTGAGCCGGTTTTCCTCAGCCTCTGCCTTTTCTACCCCTGCAGAAGATTCCAAAGCGCCAAAACCTCCCCCAGAGTCCCCTGCACCACCTTCCCGGCCTCTCCCACCCCAGAGCCTAGAGGGCCTGCAACAAACAGGACCTGAGTCTGGCGGCCTAGAACGGGCCCCAATCCAAAACAGTCCGTGGAAGGAGACCAGCCTGGACCACCCCTATGAGAAGCCCAGGAAGTCTTCCGAACTCAGTAGCGAGTCCAGGTCAGGCTGGGGAGGAAGGGAGAGCCCAGAACAGGCAGAAAGTGCCAGGGTGGTCCCGACTGGGGGTGTGGATGGGGAAATGTGCAGGTGGTCACTCTCCTTGTCTGTGTGATGCCAGAGGTGTGAGACTTGGTAGCTTTTTGGGGTGCTGATACTTTGTACCACTCCCATTGGGGCCACCTACCTCTTGAGCCTTTAAACTAGTGGTTCTCAACCTGTGGGGCCCCACCCCTTGGGTGGTGAAAGACCCTTCACAAGGGTCACCTAAAACTATCAGAAAACACAGATATTTTACATTACAATTTCATAACAGTAGCAAAATCACAGTTATAAAGTAGCAAAGAAAATAACTTTATGGTTGGGGGTCACCACAGCATGAGGAACTATATTACAGGGTCGAGGCATTAGGAAGGTTGAGAACCACTGTTCCAAATAAAGACATTGCTGTCACTGACTTATCTCCAATCCTTTTACAGCAGCCCAGCCACCACGCCTCAGGACCAGCCCAGCACGTCCAGCCTGTGGCTGCTGGATCCTGCCTCCTACCATGTGGTCCCCATCCGAAATGTTCCTGGCCAGCGGCAAGGCCGCACCAGTGCCCCAGCTACCCCTGAGATGCAGGGCAGGAGGGGCCAGTCGCAGTCTCTGAGGTAAGAAGGTTACCCTAGAGGGACAGCCCATTTCTATCCCAAGCTATGCAGGTAGAGCTGAGACACACGCCCTGGGTGACACATGGCTAGCACCTTGGGTACTCCTTTGCATCCCCCTCTGGGGTGCCTCTCTAAGAGGTAGAGGCTGCTGCTCTTCAGCAGAGTCCAAAGCATTTCACTCACAATGGAAGCATTCTTGACTCGGGGTTTTCAACCTTGCCCTGTTTCCTTGTCCTGGCAGATACTGGTTTATTGTTGGTCACTGACAATGCATACTTCTCTTTTCCAATTGATGTGCATACGGTTCTCATTATTCATGGTAGTTATGGTCTACAACATGGCTGTAAACACACATTCTCCTGTAGCAGTGGGTCTCAACCTGTGGGTCGACATCCCTTTGAACTCCTACGACCATCTGAAAACACATATTTACAATTCATAACGATAGCAAAATTACTGTTATGAAAGTAACTTTATGGTTGGGGGTCACCACAACATGAAGAATTGTATTAAAGGGCCCCAGTATCAGGAAGGTTGAGAACTATTGTCCCATAGAGAAATACAAGTTTTGGTAACAGTGTTGCTGTTTAACCCAGTTGCTCATTAACCGAGTCATGTATATATATCCTTGTTGAACACGAGTTTCTGTTGAAGGACAGCTTATGGTTAAGGACACTAACACTGAACTGATGCCAAGTGACACTGTAACTTTGTCTGAAGCTGGCCTAGCAGTCTTGCTTTCTCTACAAGACACTTCACATTGTTCTTGTGCTTAGAAACTACAGGGAGCACTTCAGCATCACTTGTGGGGGGGCATTTTAAATACAAAGTAGCCAGATGTGGTGCTTCCAGGCCAGCCTGGTCTACAGAACTAGGTCCACGACAGCCAAGGCTACATTGAGAGACCCTCAAAACAAGCAAAAATAAAGTCAATCCCCCCTCCCAGGGTATTCTAACGAATACTACAGGAAGTCCAAAGGGTGAAATAAGATAGCAGCACGTGACCGTCTACCTAGTTCTAGTTCAGTGTGGGGCCGAGCTGGGGAAGGAACCTGGGGCCTCATGAGTGATGGAGAAGCTTTCTAAGAGTCCGCTAATGTTGATATTTGTAGATAAGATTTCCCTATGTAGTCTAGCCTGGCCTGCAATTCACCATCCTCCTGCCTCAGCTTCCTTGGTGCTGTACCTCTGTGCCACCACACCAAACTCAGCTCTTGACCCTCGTCCAGCCTTTCCTGGGTATCTGTGCTTAAAGCAAATCCGAATTCTTTGCTGCATCAAGTGCCCATGAATACATGTTAGTTACCTTTCTCCTTCAATGCTGGGGCAGAATGCTTGACAAAAAAGCAACCCGAGGAAGGAGCTGTTATTTTGGTTCACGGTTTGAGATGCTGCCCATTGTGTGGGGAAACTGTGGTGGCAGGAGGATGAGGTAGCTGTCACAGTGCATCTGCCATCAGGAAGCAGAGAGAGATGAACGCCGGTTCCCAGCTCACTCTCAGTCCTTTGAAAGACAGGGTTTCTCTGTGTAACAAATCTGGCTGTCCTGGAACTTGCTTTGTAGACCAGGCTGGCCTTGAACTCAGAGATCCTCCTGCCTCTGCCTCCTGAGTGCTTACAGGCTGGCCTTGAACTCAGAGATCCTCCTGCCTCTGCCTCCCGAGTGCTTGGAGGCACAACACCAGGATACTTTATATTAAAAATGGCCCCACAAGTGATGCTGAGGAGTGCTGGGATTAAAGGAGTGTACCTCTACTGCTCAGCTACTCTCAGTCCTTTTAATTCAGCCCAGGACCCTAGCCCATGGAAAGGTGCCACCCATATTTAGGGTGGGTCTTCTCACTTCCACTAACCCAGCGCAGAAACTCCCTCACAGACATATCCAGAGGTTTGTCTTGTAGGTGATTCTAGACCCTGTCAAATTGACAAGATTAGCCATTGACAAAATGCTGTGTATATTGACTTTGGAATTAGCAGGTCAATTTTAGTAAGCAGGTGAATCAGCAAATACTAAATCTATGAATAATGAAAATCAACTGTACATTTCTTTTCAAGCCCAGTAAGTTTCAGTAAGCAAGGTACCATCACCAAGGTCATTTTATAAACAATGTCTTTGTGCAAAAGGCCCCATGCCCAGTATATAAACAGAGGGGAAGCTAGACTTTAGCCCTCGGTGATCCCACACTGCATGTATCCGCCCTTTAAAACACATGAAAGCTTTTCACATTTTTAAAGACTTTATTTATTATGTATGTAGTGTTCTGCCTGCATGCCAGAATAAGGCATCAGACCTCATTATAGATGATCGTAAGCCACCATGTGGTTGCTGGGAATTGAAATCAGGACCTCTGGAAGAACAGCTAGTGCTCTTAACTTCTGAGCCATCTCTCCAGCCCACTTTTCTCATTAAGTTAAATGCTTGACAATGTCTAACCTAACAGGGTCTGAATTAAACGCTACCAAACAGAGTGTACCCTAGCTGGCTAAAAAATGTGACATGGATATAGCAGAATGTTGGCACTTCCTATCTATGAATTGAATCCCTGAGAAACCAAGATACTTTTAAAAATCATAGATGTATAAGACATGTACAAATTCTCTTTGCAGGCCTGGGGATTGAACCTGGGATTTCATGAATGCTAAGCAAGTATTCTTACCTCTGAGCCACATTGCCTGTCTGTCAGATTCTTGTCACTATTCCTAAATAGTACGATACATGAACTAGTTACATGGCATTTACACCGTATTAGGAATTACAAGTACTCCAGAGATTAAAGTCCACAGGATGTAATGCTTACCTAGTTTATGCAGGGAACTTGCGACCTGGATTTTGTGACTCGGGCCAGCACTTGTGGAGTCAGTTTATCCTGATGCGGAAAAAGCTAGAAGAATCGAGTAGGAACAGTATAGCATGCAGGGAGGGAAATGTGTTACCTCTGCAAATCAGGACAAGCCCGGGGAGGTCTGAGGTATAAGACCTAACACAGGCTCATTGAACTGGCTTTGGGACAGAGCACTGGCCTCCAAAGTCATAACTCATCACTCCAGTGTGGCTTCTCCCCAACTCAAGGTTCTCCCGCTTTCCTCTTCAGGGTGGACTCCTTCCGAACAGGTGCGGAGGGCCGAGGTCGCAGTGCCTTTCCCCGCCGCCGCCCCACTCATTACACGGTGACGGTGCCAGACTCCTGCTTCACACCGAGCAAGCCCCCGCTGCCACACCCTGCCTGCCACTCTTGCTCTGAAGACAGCGGCTCTGATGTCTCCAGCATCTCCCACCCCACCTCACCCGGCAGCAGCAGCCCAGACATCTCCTTTCTGCGGCCCCTCTGTCCTCCTGAGCCACCTCGCCATCGCGGGGCCTGGGGCCCAGCCTGTGGCAGAGAGCTGGCCACTCACTACCCTAAACTTCTGCTGCCCGCTGGATATTTCCCAACGGGGCGCTATGTGATGGTGGCCGAAGGCCACCTGCCACCTGGCGAGTGGGAGCTGTGTCGTGCAGCCCTGAATGCTGCCTACGATGAGGAGGGTGCTCCCCTGCGCTACCAGCGACTGGTGCCCTCCCACAGCCGCATAGTGCGCACTCCCTCGCTGAAGGACAATCCTGCGGGCAGGGGACTCAGCAAGGCAGCTGTCTCCGAGGAACTCAAGTGGTGGCACGAGCGGGCACGTCTCCGGAGCAGCCGCCCTCACTCACTGGACCGCCAAGGGGCTTTCCGTGTCAGGAGCCTGCCTCCCGGGAGGGAGAGCTTCGGGCGGGTCTCGGGACCGCGGACACAGGTATAGCTTTCCCCGAGGGAAGACATTAGATCAGCAGACTACTGGCCAAGTAATCCCCACTTAGGAAAATTAGGCCAAAAAAAAAAAAAAAAAAAAGTTTTTCCTCTCGTCCTTAGAAGGCACTTCCGATCCCCTTGTGGGTGCCTCTTAATTGTGCCTGCTGTCTAGTGTCTTGTGCTAGAGCACATACCGATGTGCCCCAGTAGAGATCATCCACACAGATAGCTGGGGAGACATTTTTTCCCTTCTGGCTTCACAGATGATCCACACAACAGATAAACTTCCTCATAACCAAATGTGTAACCCAAATTAACCCCTGGAATTTCCTGACTCGAGGGCCCTGGACAAAGGGAGGATCTGGAAAATGGGTTTGCAGAAAGCAACTCAGGGCAGCCAAGCTGAGAAGCAGATGGTCTCATAGTTTACAGCTAGAGTGCCAGGTTCCAATCCCAGCCCCACTTCTTACAAGTTATATGGTCCTTTGGGTTGTTTGACTTGTAGGCTTCTATTCCTCCCCTCTAAAAGATGGGCATAGTAGGTGGATAAGAGGCTAAAATGATTAGAGCAATGCCCAAGAGTGCTAGCTAAGTGATAATGTTGTCACTAGGCTCCCAGAGGCTGGGGGTAGGTTATATCGGTAGTGTATAGGATTAGGAACACTCTGACTTCGGGTAGGGATGCTGCCTTGGTTCCTGTGAGCCCCATTTCTTCATTCTGAGAGAAGGGCTAGCAGGCATGAATCCTTTCTTTATTCTCCCTTCCTGATTCAGAAGGCTATGCAGGGGACACGCTCTAGAAGTTACCAACAGGCTGCTTCTTTGAGACCCCCGATTCCCAGCAGCCCAGCTGCATTATCCTCCCCTCCCCCAGGTTCTTTGGGCTGTTGCAGCTGCCATTCCTGGCTGGGCAGCACCCTGGCCCAGTCCCAGGTTGCACACCCTCCCATCTGACATGCTTTCCCCTTCCTGCGAGCTTGGACCTGTCTTTGGTATAGGCTTGGCCCATCCCAACCTGTCAGACAGGGATGGTGATGAGACATGAGTCCAGGAAAGGTGGTGAAGAAGGTCAGGGTGTCCATCACACCCCAAAGAACCTGGAGTGGTAAACAGATGAGGGGATGGTCCCAGGGAGCATCGTTCCTGGGGAGGGCAGGAGCAGACCACCCGGGCTTCACTACTGATGGTCTATGCCTTTAAGCAAAAAGAATGGTGTAAGTGAGCTCGCAGTGCTGACCTTTCTATCCCGTTTGCTCATCCCCCCCCTCTTTTCTCCTGCCTGTGACAGGTGCCCCCAGTGTGTGTACTCCGGAGGTCTCCAGATGGGGCTCCCGTGCAAGTCTTTGTGCCTGAGAATGGGGAGATCATCAGCCAGGTGTAACTACTCTGAAAGCCGTGGCCGTGGAAAAGACTTTTATATGGGAGCTGGGGTTGAGACCCCCTCACCCTGAAGTGCTTCTTTCAGCTCTCCTACGCTCATCGCCGGCCGATGACTCAGAGCTGAAACCTCTGTTTTTTACGATTGTTTTCTGGAAGTCCTGACCTGAGGATTTATATCTGTGATTTATCTTCAAGGTTCCTATAATATGATTGTACTTTATTCCCCCAGAGTCTGGCCTTTTTGGACTTAAGGTCTTGCTGGGCTAATTGGCGGCATTTGTCTCCTTATGTGGGACAAGTGGCATGGAGGGCCCCTTGGGAGTCCCTGATGCTCTGTGCCTTCTTTTTGAGGTAGCTGCTGGTTCTTACTGCTGGAGTCGGCATGTGGTACATACCCAAAAAGGATTCCTCCCTTGTTTCCAGATCTCTGGGTACCATAGGCTGGGCAGGATTCTCTTCTCCCCTTTATGTGCTCTGTGATGCACACACACTATGGCAGGAAAGGTCTTTATGTCTGGTGGAGCCTTGTCTTCTGTCCTGACTCCACGGGTCTCCATTAGCAGCCCTTGCCACTGTTCTGACTCCATACCCTGGAGCTCCCAGACCACTAAACATGGAGTTTGAGGCTACCCTGAACTGTCCGGTCAGGGGCCTGGACTAGGGGGCTGGTTGGTGGAGAACATCTCATCCTCCACAGCCACTGCTGGGCATTGTGAGGCTAGGCTGGCAGTGCTACTTCTGTGGTGTGTTTGAGGTGTGAAGAGGCAGTTACTGCCCCTTCCATTTTCTGCCCAGCCAGCTTCTGCTCTGAGAAAAACCCTTGTTTGTTCACACCCGGAGAAGCTCATTAATGACTTCTGTTGGGGCACTGGATTGTCTTAGACAACACGAAGGAGTTGTCCCAGCTCCTGAGACCAGGCAAGCCAGGAAGCTGCCTGTGCTTAGACCAGTGGCACACTTTGATCCTTAGGCCTCCTTTGCTACTGGGTCAGATGCCCAGGTAGGCATCTTGCCTAGGAGCAGCTAGGAAGGTAGCGATTTTGATTTTGTGTGGCCTTCCTCACTGGAGCACTTCTCCCGTTCTCCCCTGGACTGGATGAACACTGATGTCTGACTCTAATGGTCTATTTCTCCCGCTGGTGAGAAAACTGTGGCCCATTGCGCTGGGGCTGGGGGAGGGGCAGGGTTAGGAATTAGGGAGCTAAGAGGAGCCTGAGGGGATGCATAGGACATTTCTGTCACTGTATTCTCACTACATCCTACAGCTCCGCCCTCCACATTGTGTGTGGAAGCCCTGTTTTGGTTTGTCTGGCTTCTTAGCCTCTCCCCTAGTATATAGATGCTCCCCTCCCCCCAGTGTGTTCTCTGGGTCCCTAAGTGCCTTAGATCCTAGGTCACAGAGCTGGGAGATCTTTGAGTGCCAGTCTCTTCCTCCACCTGAGCATCCTTCACATTAACTTATTGGTCTTACCTAACAGCTATTCCGTGTGTTTGCATAGTGGTTGTGCCCGACTGTGCAACATTGTGCCAAATACTTCAATAAAGTCTGATTGGCCCAGCTGAAGATTTGTGAGTGTGGATGTAGAGAGTTTGTGTGTGTGTGTGTGTGTGTGTGTGTGTGTGTGTGTGTGTGTGTGTGTGTGTGTGTGTTGGGTTTTCTGAACAAAGGCTGTACACGACTCCCTGAGGTGTCTGCCTGACCTTTCCAACTGGTCTGGCCATGTCCCTAAGGAGCAGGTAGGGTGGCAGAGGGAGACCCAAGCTGCTCCTCTGAACAAAGGGAATCCTCCACAGCCCCTTGAGGTCTCCAGGGAGCTCTGATTTGGAAGTCACCTCTTCCAGAGAGTTCAGAATTTGTGACAGCCTAACCTCTGGTTTCAAATGGCCTCAGCCAAGCAGTGGTTAGATGTTTTTGAGAAACTGTTCCTTGTGGCTGGAAAAACAGGCTTTCCTTGTGTGAGGAAGGGTTGTCCATAACCCCTTCTGTGTTTCTGCAAAGAGCCCACAGCGAGTCCGTCCACCATGGGGTGGGCGATGTGGGGGAGACTGCGACTTTCACCTGTAGGGTGAAAGGACCTGGCATCAGAGTGCCCCCTATGACTGAAGCCTCAGGAGAAACTTTGGCCTGAGTCTGAGGTAACATGTGTCAGGTAAAGGGGTCTCTGTTTTGCCTGGCCCTCTCCACAGTCAAGGAAGAGGTAGGTCACAAAGGGTCAGGGAGATGGTTATACAGGGGTGACTCCAGCCCAGCCCTGAGTGCCCAGCCCTAGGGACTGTGGGAATCTGACCTTCAAGGGCCTGGCTTCATTAGGCCTGGGGGTGTTATTCCACGTTGGATATTGTTCCAGGAACTCTAGAGAGAAATTGTGAACATCCTTACCTCAGACCTGAACATCAATTTAACTGTTAGCTGTGGGCAGTAGGAACTTAATTTTGGATTTAACTTATCTGTGGTGAGTTTGAACTTTATTTTGCTGGGTTGGGGATGGAACCTGGTTTTTCATACATGGTAGGCATGTATTTGATTTTGTATTTTAGCTACTTGTTATCTGTTAGGCCAAGGAAATACATTTTTAGACTTTCTTTTTTTAATGTGTATGGGTGTTTTGTCTGTATGTCCATTATGTGTATACAGTACCTACTTTGGCTCGAAGAGGGCATCAGATTCCCTGGAAGTGGAGTTACTGTGAGCCACCATGAGGGCGTTGGTAATGGAACCTAGGTTTTCCAGACGAGCAGCCAACACTCTTAACTATTGAGCCATATCTCCAGCCCCCACTCCCAACTCCAGGAAAAACCTGACCCAATATCAGGTTTTAATAATCTGTGATAATCTGTCTGGGAGACAAGGAAGGTTGAAGAGGGGGCAAAAAAGAAAAAAAGGGGGGGAATATCGAAGTTCTTCTAAGCAGCTAGCCATGAAGTGTGCCAGTGTGAGGACCTGGTTGGGCAGCAGCAATTCCTTCCAGTCCACAGGCTAGTTCTGCTGGGCCATGTTTGGGAGGGGCAGGCATATGGCTTACTTAGCTCCCCTACCAGAGGGCAGAAGTAGGATGATGAATCCCAGGGAACCGGAATGAAGCATCTGCTCAGAGCAGCTTCAGGATTTGACCTGAAGATGCCTAGAACCACAGATGGAAACTTCCCTGGGAGCCAGCTTGATTCTGAGATGTCCCCAGGGGATATCCTTGGATGGAAGATGCCTGCACAAGCCATAAGGAATCAAGAGCCTTTGGGTCGTGCCGTGCACCTTCCCCTGAGGGAACAGATAAAGTAGGGAGGGGGCAAAGGGGACCCAGCACTGTTGGGTCAATTCTTTTCCTGTAGTTGTTCTGTTGTTTTCTGCACTCTGCCCTGGGACTGTGGATAAATTTAGAGCCTCAGTACATGCAAAGGCTAAGAGCAGTGCTCTGCTGTTGAACTACATCTCCAACCCCATCCTTTTCTTGTAAATGGTCAGGCTGTCTCCTGCAGCCTCCCTCTATACTAACCCTGAATCCCTAGGGAGATCCACCTCTCACCAAGCCTGCTGCTAGTCTCATCACAAGTCGCTGGGTATGCAGTTCAACTCACACACCGACAGAATCCAGAGCAAAACAACATCTCTTACATCAAATTATGATTACTTGCCGAATGCAAGCTTGTCAGGTGAGCAGTTATCCCCAAGCAGGGGCATCTCTCATCTCACTGCCACTTGGAAGTGAGGATAAGGATGATTGCCTGGCCCTTGCTGGCGATGCCCCTCAAAGGGTACATGTCTGCTTGCTTCTGGCTAACCCTTCCATAGCTCTAGTCTCTAGAGGCCTGTCCCTTTTGCAAGCTTGCCTCCCTGAGAGTCCTGAGCTCAGCTGGGTGCTGACGTCTAAGATCTTGGCCATAGCTCACCTAAAGACAACTAGATGTTCAGGGTAATCAGAGCTGATCTTTCCTTATCACCCCCAGGCCAACAACCTCCTAACAGACACCTGCTTCAGATCAGCAAGTTCTTACACCCCCAGTCTTTTTAACCTTTGTTTTGATTTTGCTTTTGTTTTTTGAGACAGGGTTTCTCAGTATCTATTGGAGCCAGTCCTGGAACTTGCTCTCTAGACCAGGCTGGCTTTGAACTCAACAGAGATCCTCCTGCCTCTGCCCCCAAATGCTGGGATTAAAGGCAAGCACCACCACTGCCTGGCCAGTCATTTTAAATTTAAATGTCCTTTATTTCTTTACTGTGTGTGTGCATGCACATTGTATGTGTGCATGCTTGCTATGGCATTATGTGTGGAGGTCAAAGGACAACTTACAGGAGTAGGTTTTCTCCATGTGGGCCAGAAGATGGAATTCAGGCTGTCAGCCTTGGTGGCTATCACCTTTACTTGCTGTTATTTTGTTGGCCTTTTCTTTTTTCCCTTCCCTCTTCCTCTCCTCCTTCCCCACTTCCCTTCCTCTTTCTCTTTTTCTTCTTCTAGACAGTCTTTCTACATTACTCAAGCTTGTGATTCTCCTGCTTCAACCTTATGATGGCTACGAGTTCAGGGAAGTGTCACCATGCCCTATACAAAAGTCTATTGATACCTGAACTTTGATGGCTGGTAGACATCTCAAAATCAACATGTTCCATGCTCCAACTGAACCCAGTCTTTACTACCACCTTCAGCTCTCCTCAGGTCAACAAATGGCAACCCAATCCTTCTAGTTTCTTGGGCCAAAAAAATTTAATCTGCTGGTGTTTTTGTTTTGTTTGTTTGTTTTTTGTTTTCTCCCGGCAGAGTCTTGCTATTTAGTACTGTGGCACTGGCTGGCTTGGAGTTCATTTTGTAGATCAAGTTGGCATCACCTTTGCACTGGTTCTTTTGCCTCAGTCTCTTAAGGACCAGAGTTACAAGTGTGTGCCACTGCACTATCTGTTTTGGCTTTGTTTGCATTTGTATCCATTTTTATTTTTTGAGACATGATTTTACTCTGAAGCCTAGGCAGGCGCAGAAACTCAACTTATATAGCCCAGGGTGCTCTCAAATCCAAGATCCTCCTATGTCTATCTCCCAAGTTCGTGGATTACAGGTGTGTAATGCTATGCCTAATTAATTTTTGTTTAGTAGTTGTAGCAGGGAATCAGACTTAGGGCCTTTAGCATGTTGAGCTCCACCACTGAGTCACACTCCTAACCCTAAACAACCTTGACTTCTTTCTAGCTTTCATACTTACGTCTTGTCCATTATCTTTTTCTACTGATCATCAAAATAAATTCCAGATCTGACAATTTAGTGCTATCACCTCCCTCACTGTGTGCTGCCATTTGTCTCTCTGGGCTATGGTTTCAGTCTCTCAACTGATCCCTCTGAAGGATTTTTTTTTTCAGCCTGGTGGTGGTGGCACATAACTTTAATCCCAGCACTCAGGAGGAAGAGGCAGGTGCACACTGTCATAACCTTCTTTCTTTTGCCTTAGCCCTTCTGAATTCTTTTCCTAGCCTCCCTCCTAAACTCTGTCTTCGATTCTCATTGGAGCAAGCCCTTAAGCATATGCTCATTCCCCCCAGTTGACAAGAAAGACTCACAAGGCTGACTCGAATCAGGAATTCCAAAGGCAGTGTGGGACAGTCCTAGATATCTGTGGGATGCTGAGAATGACTTAAAGCCTTCCCCCTTACCAATCATTCTTGAATCAGTGACCACACCTGATGCAGAAAGTCTTAAGTCCACACTTGAATGCTTTCCATGTTGACTTCTGAAGTTCATGTGACAGGTGCTGTGCACACCCATGCTGCACCTTGGTGGTTTTCTAGTCTTCTCAGTGGAGGGGAGAGGAAGAGTGGCTGTCCCTTCCTTGCCCACCTGATAAAATCAGCTAATCTCCTTCAATGACACCCCCTTCAGGACTGTGCCAATCAGAAAAGGAAGCCTACCAGCTGATTGTGAACTTCATGGAACCAGGCCAGTTGGTAAGGGGATTCTCTAAGACTCTGAGAACTGAGGAGCAAGGTGGAGAATCTGAAGGTCCATTTTTCCCTAGACCTAGCCTGAAGCCACCAGAATGTCAACTCATTCGTGGCTCTTGATCTGGGGGAAAACTTGGAGTCCAGGCCACTAAACAGGGTGGCAGTACCCTTCTTCTCTAAAGGACATTCCTTTAGACTCTGCCCTACTGTCCCCAGAAGCCTACAAGGGTAGAAATATCAGTGATGTCTAGCACTGAGCCATCATCTATACTTTGGTCCAGTTGAGACTGGGCACAGTGTGGAGTGCAGGTCTCAGGTTCTGCCCTGAGACTGGTTTTGTCTTCTGCCTTAGTCCGTGACAGACAAGCTGAGTTTCCTGAATGCGGTGTTAATTTTGAGCAGTGTTGTACGTGACCAGGCAAATGGCAACATGAATAACTATTATTCTAAAACCCTTCTAGCAAAGAAAATTGAGGTGAGAAAGAACATAACTCTTGGTTGGTCACTCCGGGTTGAAGGTGACAGTTGTAAAATGGAGGACTGGTAACCTCTCTGAGGTAAATTCTCACTTTTCCTGGTTCTTCTAGACACTCATCCTGGAAGAACCCATCGAGACCTTGGACAGTTGTGTGCGTCAGCAAGCCATGCTCTGCATCGTGGCCCTGAGGTTCCTTCCCCACGGACCCTCTCCCAGCCCCCAGGGATTCTGGTCCTAAGAACATTTGGGTTGGGAAGACAGGACAAGTTTGGGAACTTAACTGGAGGCTAAAAATGACAAAGTCTATGGTTGCCACTTCATCTGCCTGCATCCTGGGACCAGGGACACCTTTTGGAAATCTATTGAGACACCTATTGTAGGAAGCCTCCTTACTCAGTGATCTCCTATCCTGACAAGGAATCACTGTAAAGTGGTCCACAGTTTTCTGTACCTCAGAGAGTAGCAGAGCAGTTTCCCCCAGGGGATTCTGAAAATATACCTCAGGCTCACACAGGACCCCCTAAGTCCCTTGTTATTCATTGATTCTTCTCCAAGCCAGGTGAAGCCACCTTTCCACTTATGCCAGAAGCTGGACCTAGTTAATGTTAGCATCACCAGCCTATTCGCCCTGCCTCTCATCATGCCCAGTCTAGACCGAAAGGAGAGTGCTAGTCTCTACCTCCAGGTAACCACCGTTGTTGTCAGTCTCTTGCTGAAGATCTCCATGGGGATAGCTTTGTCTGGGTGACCACCTCCTGCTTGCTTGGCTTGCTGGCCTTCCTCCTGCTCTGACCCCTCCCTCAGGAGACCAAAGCCCCATGGCCTCCATTCTACTTGCTGTCATTCTGGGCTTCCGAAGGAATGGTCGTTGTCCATATCTCTTCTCTCTGAAGTCCACATGACAGCCTTAGTCTTAGATAGTCTAGCAATAAAAACCATAGATTATATAGAATAATTGGCAAATTATTTTCCCAATGATATTTGGTTTTAAAATTTGGACTAGGGAATATAGCTCAGCGGTAAAGCTCTTGCTTAGCACCTACGAGGTCTTGGGTTCAGTTCCCAGAATTGCAAAAATAAAACATAGGAGTCTCCATAAACTGGTAATATTACTCTCTAATACTGAGAATCCCAACAGGCTGTCTTAGTTGGCAAGAAATGCCTACAGCCTGCATTTCACTATTGGCTACAATTAAAGATGAGCCTGATCCCACCTTTAGTAAGGCTGAGAAAGTTCAACACTAAGGAAAACCAGAATGTAACTGGTATGTGAGCAGATGCGAGGACAACAGAACTACGCTGGCTCCCTGCTCCTTTACCCTATAGAAGAGATGGAGGGAGTGTTCTCAGGAAGCTCAGCAAGCCACGTGACAGTCATCCTGTTGTACACCGATGTCTCCTTGATTCTCAGACAACCCAGGCCTTGGATGACATGCTACAAGCTCTTGTGATGGAAGATAGGAGCCCCGACATGCTTATTCTGCAAAACTTCGTGGAGGTAGGTGCCTCTAATACCAGAACCCCACACTGCTCTTGTACTGTACGCTGACTAAGGCAGGAAAGGAATATGACAACAGTCAGGTGCTCCTCTAGTTCCAAGATTCTCAAGCCCCAGCATGCGCAAACTTCATTGGAGGATGCAGTCCTGTGTCTCCCCCAAGGTGCTCTGAGGGTGACATTTGGGGACCACAGTCATCAGGCTGAGGAGCCTTTTCCATCAAGAACTTGGGCATGGTGGGGCATTAGCAGTGATCATATTTATGTCCTTGAATCTTCTTAGTGTGTTTTCCCTTGCTGTCACTGCTCTGGGCTGGAGATCAGTGTTCACCCTTAAGCTAACTCGTCTATGAGACTGGAAGCCTTATCAAGTGCTTTTGCTTTTTTTTAGTTGACTTAAAATATTCTTAGCTTTGGCAAATTTTCACTACCTGAAAATGAGTTTGAATTAAGAAGATAGCAAGAGTCCATTGAAAATAATGTTCATGAGCAAAATGCCTATTGACTGGGCTAAGATATTTTGCCTAAAATTCTGTATGATTACAAATAGAGATAAGAGTGTCTGGGAATCTCATAAGATGGTCTTGACGAGGGCTTCATCCAGATGAGGCACTTGTTTGTATTTGGGAGAGTAACATAGTGCTTTGGAACGTAGTGCTGCTCATGTGTTTGTGGAGAGGCATTTCTGTGCTTTATAGACACTTCATTGTGAATGCAATAACAAACCCCTGTTATTCCTGGAGTTCATGGGGGAAGGGAGGCACTGAGCTCTAGTTCTGGTCATCATGAAGTCCTCAGCATTCATTAGGAGGTTTCTTGTTCTCCAAAGGAAAACGGTGCCAGGCGTAGTGTATGTGTCTATAAATATAGCAGTGAAATGCAGAAGCAGGGACATTGCAGTGAATTCGAGGCCAGCCTGGGCTACACAGTGAGACTTTGTCTTAACTACATATAACAAAAGAAAATAAAACAGCACCATGCTAGAGTTTCAGCCTTTCATAAAAATGGATTATTTTGTTTTATTTTTATTTTTCATTATTTATTCAAAGTAACTGCCTCTATTTTTCTCTTTCTCTCTCTGAGAATAGATTCTTTTCTCACACAATATGTCCTGATTTATAGTTTCCACTCCTTTCATTTCTTCCCCACCGGCCCTCCCCTCCAGATCCACTTCCTTTCTGTCTCTCATTAGAAAAAAAGGGGCTTCTAAGAGATAACAATGAAGCTTAACAAAATATAATATACTAAGGTGAAGTAAAAACTTTCATATCAGGCTGGGCGGTGGTGCTGCACGCCTTTAATCCCAGCACTTGGGAGGCAGAGGCAGGCGGGTCTCTGTGAGATCAAGGCCAGCCTGGTCTACAAAGCGAGTTCTAGGACAGCCAGGGTTGTTACACAGAGTATTCGTGACTCAAAAAACCAACCACCCAACCACCCAATCAACCAAACAAAAAATCTTTCATACCAAAGTTGGACACAGCAACCCAAAAGGAGGAAAAGAGTCAGAGACACACTTTCTCATAGTCAGGAGTCCCATAATAACACTAAGCTAATAGCTATAATACATCCACAGAGGACCTGGTGTAGACCTGCGTAGGTGCTGTGCTTGATGCTGCAGTCTCTGTGAGCTCATATGCACCTTGCTTAGTTGATTCAAAGGATCGTGTTCTCCTGGTGTCCTCCATCCCCTCTTAGAATTTTCCTTCCTCCTCCTCTTTGGGATTCCCTGAGCTCTGAGGGGAGGGGTTTGATGGAGATCTCCAATTTACTCTCTCTCTTTGTATAATGTCTGGCTGTGGGTCTCTGAATCTGTTTCCATCTGCTGCCTGGGGAAGCCTCTCTGATGAGGATTGTGAAAGTCACCGATTTATGAGTGTAGCAGAATACCATTAGGAGCCATTTTATTAATAGTTTTTTTGACCAGTAGTGTTTAATCTTACCAAGTCTCTGGGATGTCTAGTCTCTGGTTCTTGGTTACCCTAGCAGTGTCAGTATGGGTTCTTTCTTGTGGAGTCAGCCTTAGGTAAAATCAGACATAGGTTGGCTACTCCCACAAGTTCTATGCCACCATTGCCCTAGCATATTTTGTAGGCACAACAGATTGTAAGCCAAAGGTTTTGCAGCTGGGTGGGTGTCCACATTTCTCTTTCAGTAGCCTCAGAGTACCTTCTTGCACCAAAGACACTAGAATGTAGGGGCAAAGGCTCCATGGAGGTATCAGCTCAATTTCTCTATGTTCAATGAGTTGTGTAGATATTGTCCTTGTCAATGGGGCCTTGCCATCAGTTTGTGGAGAGCAATCTTTTGTCTTAGCATCAGCCTAGGCTGTTGGGAGGATTTCCATAGGACTCCCTTGGCCAACAACTCAATGAATGTAACCCAGACCCACCACTGGGAGCCTTGTCTTGCTACAATAGATGGTCAGTTGGGACTATAGATCCTGCATTACTAGGAGTCCTCATAGGGATCACTGTCTTAGTTAGGGTTTCTGTTGCTATGAAAAGACAGCATGACCATGGCAACTCTTATAAAGGAAAACATTTAATTGGCGTTAGCTGACAGTTTGATTGGTTTAGTCAATAATTGTCATGGTGGGACACACGGTAGTGTGCAGGCAGACATGGTGCTACAGAAGGTGCTGAGAGTTCTACATCTTGATCTACAGGCAATAGAAGGAGACTGTGAGCTTCTGAGACCTCAAAACCTACCCCCACAGTGATACACTTCCTCCAACAAGGTGACGCCCAATGGACCAAGCATTCAAACACATGAGTCTATGGGGGCCCTTCCTATTCAAACCACCACTTTCCACTCCTTGACCCCCATAGGCCTGTAGCCATAATATAAAGCAAAATTCATTTAGTTCAACTTCAAAAGTCCCCATGGTCTATAACAGTCTCAAACTTGTTTAAAAGTTCAAAGTCTCTTCTGAGACTCATGAAGTCTCTTAATTGTAATCTCCTGTAAAATCAAAATGAAAAAGCAGCTCACATACTTCCCACATATAATGGCACAGGACATAAATTACAGTTTCAAAAAGGAGCATAGTGAGGAAATACTAGACCAAACCAAGACCAAAAATCAGCTGAGCAAACTCCAAACTCTTCATCTCCGTGTCTGATGTTAAAATGCTCTTCAGATTCCCAACTCTTCAGTATTGTTGACTGCAACACACTTCTTTCTCTTGAGATGATTCCACTCCCTGTTAGCAGCTTTCCTCAGCAGGTATCCCATGGCGTTGGCATCTCCTACATTTTGGGTTCTCCAAGGCAATCCAGGCTTCACCTTCATAGCTTTACACAATGGCCTCTCTAGGCCTCCCATGCAGAGACATCCCTGACATATGCCTGGGCTCAACGGATTTCCTTAGTCTCAGAGGGAGATTCCATAGCCCCTTTCTTCTATCCTTGACTCTAAAGCCACAACCACCTAGCCTGCTGCTTTCTGAGGCTGGAACATGCCCCCTTCATTCAATTACATCTTCACCAACTCTCTGTTTTTGATGGTCTCCTTCATTTCCTATGCTTTTCTGTCCTGGAACTTGCTTTGTAGACTAGGATGGCCTTGAACTCTGAAATCTTCTCGGCTCGGTCACCTGAGTGTTGGGATTAAAGGGATATACCACCACGTCTGGACCTAATCTTTAATTCCTTTTCACAAGTTGGAAGCTTAGCCACGAGGGCTTCCCCTGAGGTCACCACTCCCTTTATTCTATTTAATATCTGGCTTTTCTTTAATCCTGTCTCCCTGAACACAGGACTTAGCTCCATTCCTCTCCCTGGTGCCCACCCTTTCCTCAAATTGTACATTTTGTAACTTTCCTTGCTCAGCATGCTCCTTTTCATTATAGATCTGCATAAGTGTGGCCACTGATAACCATACAACACAGTCCACACTAGGTTGTTTTGAAATCTCCTCTGCAAACCCAATTAATCCAAAGCTATTAAACTTAGCCTCGGGCAAATTGTTTGGACAAGGGCAGAAAGCAGCCTCATTCTTCACCAAAATATCACACGAATAGTCTCTAGGTCACATACTAGCATTCTTCTTCTCTGAAACCTCTTGAGCCAGGCCATCATAGTTCAAATCACCCTCAGCACCACTGTCTTCTGTGCTTCTACTAGTATGGGCCATTAAGCCCCACTTAAAGTGGTCAACTGCTTTTCTCATCCAAAGTTCCAAAGTCCACATTCCTCCAAATAAAATCATGGCCAGGCCTATCACAGTACTACACCACTTCCTGGTACCAACTTCTGTCTTAGTCAGGATTTTATTACTTCATAGATTCCAGTAAGTTTCCATTGCACTAGGTTTCCACACCTAGCTTGGTTATCATTTACTTTATGGCTAATATGCACTTAAAAGTGAATACATACCATTTTGTCTTTTTGGGTCTGTGTTACCTCACTCAGGATGATTTTTTTCTAGTTCCATCCATTTGTCTGCAAATTTCATGATATCATTTTATTTTAACAGCTGAGTAATATTCCATTGTGTAAATATACTATATTTTGTTTATCCTTCAATGGAGGGACACTTAGGTTGTTTCCAGGTTCTGGTTATTATAAATAGAGCTGTAAGGAACATGGCTAAACAATTGTCTTTGTGGTAGGATAGAGTGGTATAGCTGGACTTAGGGTAGATTGATTCCCAATTTTCTGAGGAACTGCTATATTGATTCTGCTTGCTCCACATCCTCATCAGCATGAGCTATCACTTGCATTATTGATCTTAACCATTCTGACAGGGGTAAGATGGAATCTCAAAATAGTTTTGATTTGCATTTCCCTGATGGCTAAGGATGGTGAACATCTCTTTTAATGTTTCTCAGCCACCTGAAATTTCTCTACTAGGAGTTCTTTGTTTAGATCCATACCCCATTTTTAATTGGATTATTTCATTTTTTGATATCTAGTTTCTTGAATTCTTTATGTATTTTGGGTATTAGTCCTCTGTTAGATGTGTAGTTGGTAAAAATCTCTTCCCATTTTGTATGCTGCCGTTTTGTCCTATTGATGGTGACCTTTGCCTTACAGAAGCTACTCAGTCTCATGAGGTCCCATTTATTAATTGTTGATCTTAGTGTATGTACTAATTGCCTCCTTGCCAATGCATTCAAGGCTAATCACCACCTTCTCTTCTGTCAGGTTCTGTGTATATGGTTTTATGGTGAGGTCTTTGAGCCATTTGGAGTTGAGTTTTGTGCAGGATGATAGATATGGGCCTACTTGCATTTTTCTACATGTAGACATCAAGTTTGACCAGTAACATTTCTTGAAGATGCTTTCTTTTTTCCAGTGTGATCTTCTGGGTTCCCTATCAAAAATTAGGTGTCCATAGGTATATGGATTTATATCTGGGCCTTCAATTTGATTCCATTGATCAACATGTCTATTTTTATGCCAGCACCATGCAGTTTTTATTACTATAGTTCTGTAGTACAACTTGAATTTAGGGATGAATACCTCCAGCAGTTTCTTTATTGCTCAGGATTGTTTTAGCTTAGAATTTTGTTTTTCCATAGGAAGTTGAGAATGGACTTTTCAAAGTCTGTAAAGAATTGTGTTGGGATTTTTGGTAAGGATTGCATAGAGTCTGTAGGTTGCTTTTGTTAGGATGGCCAGAAAATGAGTTATTTTATATGAAACAAAATTTGGATTATATTTACTACTTCATTTAGAAAAAAATTGTATAAAATTATGGTAACATAATGTGTCATAATTTATTTTAATTTGACTTTGAACAGTAGAATAACACTAAATATATTTGGGGGGAAGCTACATAAAAACAATATGTAAAGAGTTTAAATGGGGGGCTAGAGAGATGGCTCAGAGGTTAAGAGCACTGGATGTTCTTTCAGAGGTCCAGAGTTCAATTCCCAGCAACCACATTGTCACAACCATTTATAACGAGATCTGGTGCCCTCTTATGGCCTGCAGGCAGAACACTGTATACATAATAAATAAATCTTAAAAAAAAAAAAAGAGTTTAAATGGAGTTCCTCTATACAGAGGGATAACGCCTTTACCAGACACCATAGGCTGTCAGACAAAAAAACCTAGCACCAGGTGTGAGTTACTTTCCTTTAAGATGTTGACCAACAGTACTTCTATAGACCCCTCAAACAACGCAGGCTGCTTTTGTTGCCCATGGTTACCCAGCAGAACTTGATGGTAAGACCCTGTTGTTAAAAATACTTCACTGGATGTGAAGAAATAAAACTGGTACTGATCTGAGGGCTTCCTTCCTATTGGCTAAATTTTATAGCTTAGGCTTGCTTTACACTCACAGCAGTCTTCCTACCTCTATCCCTTGAATGCTAGGGTTACGGATATGAGCTACCCAGCCCAGGTTCATTGTAGATTTTCAGTATACATCTATGAAAAGTCTGAGTTTGTATTGGATACCAGGTATGGGTGGTTCTCAGTCTCAGCTCAACCTTTTTTGTTTCTTTTCTTACACCCCTGCGCTTTTTTTTTCCTTTTTATTTATTTTTATTTTTTTAAGTAAATAACTTATTTATTTTTGGGTTGTTGGGTTTTTTTGTTTGTTTTGTTTTTGTTTTGTTTTGTTTTGTTTTGTTTTGAGACGGGGTTTCTCTGTGTAGCCTTGGCTGCCCTAAACTCACTCTGCAGACCAGGCTAGCCTCCAATTCGAGATCCACTTGTCCCTGCCTCTAGATTACATACAGCAAATGGGTGGTGAGATTAAAGGTATACACCACCAAAACATGAATGTCCATGATCGGGAGAAAGGTTCCTGTTCCTCAGCTCTGACCCCAGACTCACTTTTCAAAAGTGAGCACCAAGCAGGTCCCCACTGGTGGGACCTCAACCTAAACAACAATAAAAATACCACCTCGAAGGACTGCGGGAGGATGACATGAGTCCTTGTCCACAGAATCCTTACTGGAAGCATGTTATTATGGAGCCCTAGCAACCGCTGGCTCTGAATTCACCCTTCAGAGACACTTCACTCCTGAGCCTGGCCTAGCAGGTGGGGGTGAGGTGTCTTCCGTTTCTTACTGCTCCTCCTTGCCCTTGAAGGTATGCCTTGCTCTCCCTGGAGCCATCTCCTGTGTGAAGGGACTCAGATGGAGCAGGAGTGAATGAGAACTTACCTTATCAAATTCACAGATGGCAGGGCTCCTCTAGTGACCCGCCTCTAGTGAACCGCAATAACTTCTTGCTGTCAGTCTTTTTTTGGCTATCAGCTGTAGACACAGGACAAGCCAAGAAGGAAGCACTGCTCCATGCCCTGTTGAGTCCCTGTGTCCTGTCTGCAGATCATCTTACCTTGGTTAATGCTGTCAGACCAAGTGCACCAACAGATACGAGCCTTGGGCATTATTTCCCGATTGCTGAGGTTTGTTTGCAATTTCTCGGAACTGTTGGTGAGTATTTGTGGTTGCTGCAAGGCAGACCCAGCAGGCCTTGCATCTCTGTGGAGGGATGCTGGTTGAGCCTGGGTTCGGCAGGGGCAACAGGAGGGCAGTTAGTCAGAGTATGTCCCACTTTTCTGCATGTGTGTTTATTTCTGTCCTTGAGGACCAAGAGGCTTGATTTGTTCTTTTGTCTGTTCTGGACCTAATAAACTTTGATGAGCCTGGTTGAAGTCCTTGGCCTGGACAGCTGATGGAGACCCAGTGCCCACTGGGTAATGAATGTATTTCAGGGCGTTAGCTGTTCCTTTCCTTGCTGTTGGCTAGGGTTGCTTTCCTTGGCCAGGACAGTATGGGGTAGGAAGGGACGGGATACATCGAGGCAATGATCAAGCAATGTGGAAGGAAGGAGGGATTTGGGATGGGGGACCTTAGCTGGGAGAAGCTCCCTCGGGATGAGAAGAGGTAACCATTTCTGCTTTCCCGTCAGCACATGGTATCATTCTCTATAATGGGGAGGTTGATTGGAACCTTCAGTGTCTTCTGCCTGAATCCCAGCCAGGAGATCAGTTCAGGAGCACTGGAGGCACTGTATTATTTGTTCACCATCCTTGTGCTTCAGAGAAGTAAGTGACCTGCGCCTGGGAGGCCTCTCGCAGCTGGATC